AAGGAGACTGTTGGGTACACCTTCTATCACAGATCCGAAGGCAAGATATTCGTTGCTAAGAAGGGATCCTTTCTAGAGAAGTAGTTTCTCTCGAAAGAGGTGAGTGGGAGGAAAGTAGAACTTGACGAGGTATTTATACCTGCTCCCTTATTGGAATGTAGTTCATCACATAAATCAGTTCCAGTGATTCCTACACCAGTAAGTGAGGAACCTAATGATGATGATCATGAAACTTCTGATCAAGTTTCTACCGAATCTCGTAGGTCTACCAGAGTAAGATCCGCACCAGAGTGGTACGATAATCCTGTTCTGGAGGTCATGTTACTTGACCATGACAAACCTACGAACTATGAGGAAGCGATGATGAGCCCAGATTCTGCAAAATGGCTTGAGGCCATGAAATCTGAGATGGAATCCATGTATAAGAACAAAGTGTGGACTTTGGTTGACTTGCCATAGAGAATAAATGGATCTTCAAGAAGAAGACTTACGCTGACGGTAATGTTACTGTCTACAAAGCTTGATTTGTTGCGAAAGGTTTTCGACAAGTTCAAGGAGTTGACTACGATGAGCTTCTCACCCGTAGCGATGCTTAAGTCCGTCCGAATCATGTTAGCAATTGCCGCATTTTATGATTATGAAATTTTCCAAATGGATGTCAAAACTGCATTCCTTAATGGATATCTTAAAGAAGAGTTGTATATGATGCAACCAGAAGGTTTTGTCGATCTAAAAGGTGCTAACAAAGTGTGCAAGCTCCAGCGATCCATTTATGGACTGGGCAAGCCTCTCGTAGTTGGAATATATGATTTGATAGTGTGATCAAAGTATATGGTTTTATACAGACTTTTGGAAAAGTCTCTATTTACAAGGAAGTGAGTGGGACCTCTGTAGCATTTCTGATTTTATATGTGGATGACATATTGTTGATCGGAAATGATACTGAATTTCTGAATAGTATAAAAGGATACTTGAATAAGAATGTTTCAATGAAAGACCTCAGTGAAGCTGCTTATATATTGGGCATCAAGATCTATAGAGATAGATCAAGACACTTAATTGGAATTTCACAAAGCACATACCTTGATAAAGTTTTGAAGAAGTTCAAAATGGATCAAGCAAAAAAATGGTTCTTGCCTATGTTACAAGGTGTGAAGTTGAGTCAGACTCAATGCCCGACCACTGCAGAAGATAGAGAGAAAATGAAAGTCATTCCGTATGCTCCAGCCATAGGTTCTATCATGTATGCAATGCTATGTAGCAGACCTGATGTGTGCCTTGCTATTAGTTTAGCAGGGAGATACCAAAGTAATCCATGAGTGGATCACTGGACAGTGGTCAAGAACATCCTCAAATACCTGAAAAGTACTAAGGATACGTTTCTCGTTTATGGAGGTGAGAAAGAGCTCGTCGTAAACGATTATGTCGATGCAAGCTTTGACACTGATCCGGATGACTCTAAGTCACAAACCGGATACATATTTTCATAGAATGATGGAGCTGTCAGTTGTTGCAGTTTCAAGCAGAGCGCCGTGTCGGGATCTACGTGTGAAGCGGAGTACATAGCTGCTTCGAAAACAGCAAATGAAGGAGTCTGGATGAAGGAGTTCATATCCGATCTAGGTGTCATACCTAGTGCATCGGGTCCAATGAAAATCTTTTGTGACAATACTGGTGCAATTGCCTTGACAAAGGAATCCTGATTTCACATGAGAATCAAGCACATCAAGAGATGCTTCAATTCCATCCGCGATCAAGTCAAGGAGGGAGACATAGAGATTTGCAAGATAAATACGAATCTGAATATTGCAGACCCATTGACTAAGCCTCTCTCACGAGCAAAACATGATCAACACCAAGACTCCATGGGTGTTAGAATCATCACAATGTAATCTAGATTATTGACTCAAGTGCAAGTGTGAGACTAAAGTAAATATGCCCTAGAGGCAATAATAAAGTTGTTATTTATATTTCCTTATATCATGATAAATGTTTATTATTCATGCTAGAATTGTATTAACCGGAAACTTAGTACATGTGTGAATACATAGACAAACAGAGTGTCACTAGTATGCCTCTACTTGACTAGCTCGTTAATCAAAGATGGGTGACTTTCTTAGCCATGGACAAAGAGTTGTCTTTTGATGAACGTGATCACATCATTAGAGAATGATGTGATTGACTTGACCCATCCGTTAGCTTAGCACTTTCATCGTTTAGTTTACTGCTATTGCTTTCTCCATCACTTACACATGTTCCTATGACTATGAGATTATGCAACTCCCGAATACCAGAGGAAAACTTAGTGTGCTATCAAACATCATGACATAACTGGGTGACTATAAAGATGCTATACAGGTGTCTTTGATGGTGCTTGTTGAGTTGTCATAGATCGAGATTAGGATTTGTAACTCTGTTTATCGGAGAGGTATCTCTAGGCCCTCTCGGTAGTGCACATCACTATAAGCCTTGGAAGCAATGTGACTAATGAGTTAGTTACGGGATGTTGCATTACAGAACGAGTAAAGAGGCTTTCCGGTAATGAGATTGAACAAGGTATTGAGATACCGACGATCGAATCTCGGGCAAGTAACATATCGATCACAAAGGGAACAATGTATGTTGTTATGCGGTTTGACCGATAAAGATATTCGTAGAATATGTAGGAACCAATATGAGCATCCAGGTTCCGCTATTGATTATTGACCAGAGATGAGTCTCGGTCATGTCTACATAGTTCTCGAACCCATAGGGTCCGCACGCTTAACATTCGGTGACGATCGGTATTATGAGTTTATGTGTTTTGATGTACCGAAGGTAGTTCAGAGTACCAGATATGATGGCGGACATGACGAGGAGTCTCAGAATGGTCGATACATAAAGATCGATATATTGGAAGGCTGGCCATGTTTGGACATCGGAATTGTTCCGGATGAGTTAGAGCATTTACCTGAGTATCGGGGGGTTATCGGAACCCCCCGGGGAGTATTTGTGCCTTATTGGGCCTTATTGGAAGAGAAGAGAGGGAACGTCAAGGTGGAGGGCGCGCCCCCTAGACCAATACGAATTGGGTGGGCCCCCCTTCCCTCCCTCTCTCTTCCCCTTCCTTCTCTCCTACTCCAACAAGGGAAAGGGGGAATCCTACTCCCACCGGGAATAGGACTCCCCCCTTAGGGCGCGCCATAGAGGGCCGGCCCTCCCCCTCCTCCACTCCTTTATATACGAGGAAGGGGGGCACCCCATAGACACACAAGTTGATCTCTTAGCCTTGCGCGGTGCCCCCCTCCACAGATTCCCACCTCGGTCATATCGTTGTAGTGCTTAGGCGAAGCCTTGCGTCGGTAACTTCATCATCACCGCCATCACGCCGTCGTGCTAACGAAGCTCTCTCTCGACACTCAGCTGGATCTAGAGTTCGTGGGACGTCACCGAGCTGAACGTGTGCAGATCGCGGAGGTGCCGTATCTTTGGTGCTAGGATCGGTCGGATCGTGAAGACGTACGACTACATCAACCGCGTTGTCATAACGCTTTCGCTTTCGGTCTACGAGGGTACGTGGACAACACTCTCCCCTCTCGTTGATATGCATCACCTAGATGGATCTTGCCTGTGCGTAGGAAATTTTTAAAATTAATGCATTCCCCAACAGGTGGAGGCTCAGCGCCGGGGGCGTCCCAGTCCTCCCTCTGCCCGATGTCGAACACCCCAGATACTTCCACACCGGGATTGAGCGTGTGCGGGCCTCCCTATCGGAGGAGGAGCGCGCCCTCCCGGAGTACGACACCGGCAACCACGAGGCGCGGGCGGCGTACTTCGAACGCCGGCAGGCGGAGCGTTTCGCCTCCATCAACAACGCGCTGGTGCTCAGGGGGCACAACAACAGCGACGACCACTGCCCGTGGTGGGGCGCCCCCGGCCGCAACCTGCACGCCGTCCTCGAGTACCTCGAGGGTGGCAACGACCCGGCGGCCCCGACCCCCGTCGGAGTGTCGGCCCGTGGGTGCCGTGGCGAATGCTGGGCGGGTCTTCCTCCTCCTCCTCCTCCCGATCCTCCTACCACGCCTCCAGGACGCCGGTGCACGTTAGCGTCAAGCCCGAGAACATGGAAACGCCGCTGGGCCGGCGCACCCGCAGCACCGGCATCGTCATCAACAAGGGCAGCCAGGCCTCCTCCTCGGCTCCTCCCCGCCTCGTCAAGCCGAAGATGGAGCCAGGGCTCGCCGCCGTGAAGAGCCAGCACGGTGACGCGCTCGACGACGAGGCGTCCATGAAGTGGACGCGGAAAGTTTGTGTATGTGAGCAACTTCAATTGTACAGTGTTAAAAAATAAATATGAGTTTAGGCCTCACACATTGTCACGTCCCTGCAAAGGTAGGTAAGGATGTGGCCGTTGAGACAATGAACGCGCTCTCCGTTTCGGGTCAATGGAAGCACAAAGACAGTCTGACCATGGCCATGCAGCCTAACAAAGCAGGCGTATCTCCTTTTTGTAATCAAATCATATCTTCGTGCTCCAACATTTGTTAAGAAAAGAACAAAAAAGCAAAAAACAGCAACATAACCCGTGGTTTTGCTTTCCTCTCATCGGCGGATGGCACAAGCAGACACCAAAATACATGCACAAAATTAAGACTGTAGATTCAGAAATTAGTACTGTAGATTCAGAAATTATTGAGTAGAAATTAAGTTGCGCATGAACAGAACGGGGACCACAAGACTTCCACTCCTTTCCTTGACCCCTCTACCCCTATAAAAGGCGCCCTGCATCCTCCAGCCCTTCGCACAAAGCTCCTCTGAAATCCACATTTTGGTTCTGTTCTGCCCTGCGACGAGGAAGACATTGTAGGAGGTGGGAAAGGAGGGATCTAATCTAACAGAGGTTTTGGGTTCTGTTCTTAATAAGATGTCTGTGGGGTTTGTGTTGGTCAGTCCCCTTGTTCCTTAATCAGTGTTTTTCTTGATGTCATTTGCTTTGCCAGGTGGGAAGAAGTTCGGAAAACATGGCCGCGATGGGTGGGGACCAAAGGCAGATGATGGAGGGTGCGGCGGAGGACAAGTTCCCAGACGGGTTACGAGTCCTTGCCGTGGACGACGACTGCGTCTGCCTCAAGGTGCTAGACAACCTCTTGCACGGCTGCAAATACCACCGTGAGTCTCTTGAATCTTGATCCCTCCGCTTCGCCAAAGTCCATTAGAATCGGAGCCTTGTGATCTTTTTGTTTCTCAGCGAATAATGCGTTCGGCGATGCAGCAACGACTGTGACGGATGCCAAGACGGCGCTGAAGATCCTCAGGGCGGGGAAGGAGAAGTTTGATGTGGTCATCACCGACGTGCGCATGCAGGACATGGACAGCTTCAAGCTCCTCGAGCTCATCCGCCTCGAGATGGATCTGCCCGTCATCAGTACACTCACTGCTCAATTCTAAGTCCTAGTTTTTTTTTGTGCGTATGAGCTGACAATTCTCTTTGAGAACGTACTTCTAATGCTGAATCTTGGATATACAGTGAGAGGACATTCATTCCTTTGGGCAGCACGTGAGATCCTATATATTCAACACGATTTTAGGAAACCAAATACGCATGCACGGCACACTCACCTTATTTTTAACTTTGGGGAAATCGAAAGAGTGGGATCCCCTTTCAGCCTGAACCAACCGGATCCCATCTAACCGTTCATCTGTCCGATCGGATGGCCCGTGGGCCGGGTAGTAGAGCGGAGGTGAATCGACACATTAGTTAATTAAGAGTAGGCCGGATCGCAGGATCGCTAGTGGTATCGGTTCCTTGCCTGAACCAATGGGATCCTGCCGAACCGCTCATCCATCGATTGATGGCTAGTGGGGGCAGGGGAATGGAAGTGGTAACCTGTGAGTTATGAGAGCCAATGAATTATTGATTTAAATAATTGTGTTAATTGCTTTTAGTATGCTATTAGACATGGTGATGTGTACCATATATAATTATAAGTAGGCAACAAGCCCCTATAGGAACCGGTTCTATTTTCGATCAATTGATGTTCCAATTGCATTAAAACATGTCGTCTAGATTCAGTATAAATTTGTTTTAGAACTTCAATACATAGTGCCTGAAGTCTAGGGTTCAAATACCATCCATACAATATATATGGTAATCTAGCTTATTGTGAGTATGTGTCACTCCTATGCAATGTACACCGACTACTCGTATGTGTTCGGTGTGGGTGCATTGATGGACTCAATTTAATTTAACTATTGTAAAAATCTATTCATAAGAACCAAAACTATAATATATTTATATTTTGTGATATGACCAAATTATATTTAGTTGTTTTCTAAACTAATATAAAATGTCTAGTCCTTGCAATCACACAAAGTATAAAATTGCAGCACCTGTTTGCTAGGGTGGCATGAGTAATACAATTAGGAAACTACGTATGTTGTATTTACGTTATTAAAGGATTACCCATCTATAATCTGCTTGAGATTGTTTGTTAAAAGTACTTACTCCTGAGAATACCATATAAAGGAGTTCCACTTTCAAGCAGATACATTGAGTAGGTTAACCATGTATAATATCTACGATGCTACAGCTTTTTTGACTTTGAACTAGCACACTAATTTGTAGTCACATTATTTTTGGTGGAGATTGAAACCAAAAATACTTATTATCCCAAATTGTAATAAAAATACTTCAGATAATGGCGCTGCTATGTGCATGATTCCTTAACATGCTCAGAACATTGCTGGGGCTGATCACTTTTATCTAGTGCGCTAGAGAAACATGGTAAACCACCCATAATAGTAATTGATCTTCAGGTTCACTAGTACTTAAATGTGATGATAAGATTTACCTAGTTAGAACATGGTGTTATGATGGTTTAGGCATTCTGTCATGGTTATTTTTTTATTGATTATTTATCTTTTATACTATTAATTGAATCTGTGAATATTTTCCATTTAATCTGCATTGGAAAGCAAATTATATCATTTTCATGATAATTTGAAAATCATGCGTAAAACATGTTTGCTTCCCCACTTGCTCGATGCATTTGGAAAATATTGAATTCTGTTTTCTGTCTATAAGCGCTAGTATAAAATTTTATGTCCAGTTCATAGATTTTTGTGAAGTACTGAACTCCAAAGCTAAGTCAGGTCATATGGCATGCAGTGCTATCTGAAGATTGCGACAAGACGGCTGTGACGAAGGGGATAAATCATGGGGCGTGTGACTATTTAGTGAAGCCAGTGCATACCAACGAGCTAAAAAACATATGGCAGCATGTTGAAAGAAAGAGAAAATCCGAAGCAATAAGGCACATCAGTGGTGATGATGATGACGATCAGAGAGCACAGCTTGGGACTGCTGCCAAGAGCAATGATGGAGCTAATAATGATGAGAACAAAGAGAACACACAGGCATCCACTACCCAGAAGAAGCCAAAAGTGGGATGGACAATTGAGCTGCATACAAAGTTTATGGAAGCTATCAACCAGATCGGCCTTTATAGTAAGACACACATTATGAACTTATTAAATGAAAAAACACTTGTTGCTATTTTGCATTTTTCATTAACAATTTTTTGATTACGCTACTATAGGGGCTACTCCAAAAAAGATTCTAGAGATGATGAATGTCGATTTCCTCACTAGACAAAATGTATCGAGTCATCTACAGGTTTATTTTCGACCCTCGTTCTTTATTTTTCACATGTTTGTGTTCCATTTATTCATACTCTAACATTTTGTCGTATATAAGCGCGAGCTTTTATTTTTGGGGTAACATATCAGTCAAAGGTTTAGTAATGCACCTAGCATGAAAATGTGTGTAATTGTAATCATGTTTGTCCTTGAAAATGTAAGGCATATCTTATGTAATACATGCCCCATACTTTTTTTAACCCATGCAACACTTCCAGTTAGTTTTGTTCCCACATGTCCACCATTACTATCTCCCATGAGCGTGCATCTCATATACACGTTTATTTTGTCTATATTGTTATTTCAGAAGTATAAATTGTACTTGAAAAGAGTCAACCCAAACCCACTTGGTGATTCATGTGTAAGATGGAACTCTTTCATGAACACTCAGGAGAGTTTTATGCAGAACCATGAACATGAAAGCTGGAGTGTGTCCTCAGGTGGCATCGCCTCCTGGAGTCCCAACCATTACGGTGAAGCGGGTCACTTAGGTCAGCATACAAACACCCAGAGCAGTATGTCCATGGGTTCATTAATCAATGGTGGTAGAATGCCGGTGTATTCGGTTCAACAGACACCCTATATGGGAAGATTTTTTGGCTTCAATGAGCACATAGTTCCATTCATCATACCTGGCAACCCAAGCTCTATATTGATGTTGAATGCAAACGACAGTGTTCCAATGGCACCACCTCAGTTCGTTTACAGCGACCCCATCACTACCTTAGTGGTAGGCTTCGGTGAGCACATGGCGCCATTAAACATAGAAAGCAACATGGGCTCGGTTGGAATGATGTTAAATGGCAGGTCTGCACATGGTACAGGAAGAACTTCAGTGGCAGAGACTGATATGGTTAACTACGGAAGAACTAGTTCTGCACTTTCCAACCATCAAACAGATGGTTTCGTCCCATTGACCCAGATGCATGATGTCGGTGATGCATCTGGCATTCTCCATGTGCAAGAAGGAACAATGGATCAGCAAGCGCTTGGTGGTCAACTGAATGGCATCAATGCCTTGTCATCGGTTGGTATTTCCAACCTTCTCAATGAAGTAAGAACTTTTCTCGTTGACATGTATCTAGTCTGTGCATATGAAATTTTGAACTGAACATGTGTATTTAAATCAAACTATCTTTCTCGCTGTAGGATTTCATTGGAGAAGAGGCTGTCATGGATGGATAATGACACTTATGTTGGTTAACCCAACCTACACGCGAGATTTTTTCGCATGCGCGTTGGGAGCTTTTAATTGGCCATTCCCTTGTTCTTGCACACTGTACCTTGAAACTATCTGAATTATTGTAGTCTAGTTAGAAGTATAGTCGTGTCGGGGCTTCTATTTTACTCTGGCTTTTTGTTAAGTCTGTTGTCTTTTGAGATCAAAACGACGTTCTGTTATGCTATTTCTGATGGAACCATTATTGTTCTATGTATTATCGATGTGATGTTGCATCTTTTCCCGAGAAAACATTTCAAGGTAAAAACATGTGCCCCTGTCTATGACATGGTCTTTAGGACCAATTTATCAGACACACCTTAGGGCGAGTTCATACATTAAATCTATTTATATAAAAAGGTGCTTGATGGGATAACCAAAACAAGAGAAATATTCTAGAAAAATCCCACAAAAAATAGAAATATTCGACCGTTAATTTAATAGACTAAAATTACACAGCCATTAGATTTGATTTAATTGACTAAAATTATACGGCCATTAGATTTGATTTAAGTGACAAAATTACCCAGCATGCCATTATGATGATGAGATCCTCGTTCACCCCGTGATGTGATCATAGTTAGACTTGATTAGCAAACATGTCCGTGCGTTGCAACGGAGGAGAAAAAAATATCACATAACCATTTAGCCTAATAGTAAGTATGGCTCTTGATAGTTTGAGACTAAATAGAAGGATACCCTTGAAGTGTGGATGATGAGTATGACAATGCTTGCCAAGAAAGCACCCACTCTTACGTTTTCCGGTTTATCTTCCCTCGTTCATCTTTCTTCATTGTTTGTTCATCCGTTGCAATAGCACAGAATCAATGACCATTTTTTTTGCTGCTCCTGGCTCTATTCTTCCCCTGTTGAATTGTTCTCTTCTCTCCTTGTCTCTTCCCCAGCCGCAACACACTACCAGAGAGTTATAAGATAGCACGTGCACCTTGTACTCAACAAGTGAATCCCAGGATCCAGACCCAAATAGATCTGTCATCTCTCGACCAGCGAACATTAGCCAAATTCATACAATCTATTTTTTATTTTAAAATGTGAGAAGAAAATATAGGACAAAGATATAGCAAGAGAAAAAGCAAGGAGTTTGAATGAAGTGTGGACTCACCTTGCACATATGATTTTTTTTCTCTTGTAGTTACTATGATCTTGCAGTAGTGTTGCCAACTTGCCATGCTCGGTCGGACTCAAAATCACAAAGGAACTAAATCCATGACGATAGGCTTGAGAAGAGCATACGAACTCGATCTAGAGCAGCAACATGTAGGAGGGCTCGTGATATGTCATAGGAAAAAACCAATATTGTTCAAGCTTTGGCACCAAATATCTAAATTGCCCAATGCAATTGAAACCACAATAATGAATAGCATTGTGGAAGAAGTGCATTGTGGCTTACTTGATGTCTCGGCAACCCACGTAAGAAAGGTGCGCCGCGAACCCGTGCATCTAGTGTTGGAGTGCGGGCGCGGCAGGCAAGCGTCCGTCGTCTTGTTACACTATCCACTATTCCGATGGGGATGTCTCATCTGGTCCACCAGAAGAAGGGCTATAACTCCCTGCTCGACCTCCAGAAGTGCAACAACCGCCTCAAGAAGTTGCCGTTACGGCTTCTGGGTTTTGCTGGGTAAAACAATAGTGGTACGGGCTCGAGTTTTTTTATACTCATGGGAGAAGGAGGGGCTACGTCGTGCTGCGAAACACGAACATGGATCCGGAGATACCAACAGAAATTTTCTAACCAACAGATCGATAGCTAGTTTTTAAATGATAGATAGGTGATCTCCAACCTTCTGCTTGGGCTCTAGCTCTCTCAGCTCATCTGTTTCACTCCTCTCTGCAGCTCCTGTAGAGCAAGCAGCTGACGATGACCTCAAGGACGACGCAGGGCATGTGGATGTATTCTGACCGAGAAGGCTCGCCAGCCTCCCGGCCATCCGGTGCGACACCACCCGGAGGTGAAATAGCGCATCCGCCCCCGCCATGCCCAGGTTGGTAGGCAGTGCCATTGCCAGCATGGTGGGCATGTGACCCCTGATGAGGACACACGCTCTCAGCACCGCGGCGTGCCCGGTGCATCGCTCCTCCATGGCCGCCACCACGACAGCGAGGTTGGAGACGACCGTGGCGACGCCGAGAGCTCTGGTATGAACACGCGGGAGGTGAAGCCAAGGTCTGCAGCGCCGAAGGCCAGGAAGAGCAGCCAGAAGGCGACGTTGGCGGAGAACATGATGTAGGAGCCCAAGAGGAGCGTGGCGACGAGCGCGAGGTACGCGTGCGATGTCGACGCTGGGCGGGAGCAACATACATGCCCGTCGCCGCTCGTGTGGGTATGCACGGAGCACACCGGTGACGCAGGCGTTGGCAAGAAGCAGGAAGGTGAGTGCCAGGGGACACATGGCCAGGGACGTCAACATGGTCTTGGACAACTTGCCGTTGAGCAGCGCGAAGGGGGACGGCGGGAACCACGCCAGCGTTCAACACCCTGCGGATCCATGATGAAACGCCACGTAGCAGCGCCCCCGATGACGGCGACAACGCTGAAACCCCAGCACGTATATAGGATATAGCAACGTATATAGCAACATCGCCAACGACAACGACAACGACGCCACCGCTGCCGCCACGACATGGGACATGAGTACGGCCGCCGAAAACGGATCAGTTTTCTGTCTACTATTTGGTTCAGGCACGCACACATATAAAGGAGAACTCACAACCAAACAGTGTACGTGCAGCCCGGCAACATATGGCAACTGCAGTAGAGTCCAAACGTGGTCTCCCCTCCCCTATTATTATTATGTAAAGATAAAGATAAAGATTTAAGTGAAAAAATTACCCACCATCCCATTATGATAGATAACGTGGTCTCCCCTCCCCTATTGCCTTTCCCCTTTTGAGATTGATGGGAAAAAGATCAGATCCTAGGTTTAAAAAAAGAAATGATATCGTCCTTCACTGTCGGACATGATCATCGTTTTTTTCCCACACATCAATTGTTCCATCTCATTCCAATCTAGCTGCGGCAAAAAAGAGATGAGATACTCCGTCATCCCGTTGTGTGGCCATCGATTTTCTTTCGTGCAATCAACTATTTCTTCTCCTTCCAATATAGATTTGGTGGATGATGCTTGACCGATCAAAAACCAATCAAACGGCCATGCGGGGGAAACTTCATACGACTTGTAAAGCACGGAAATACCACAGGAACTTCAACGTTTTTAATCCATGCTATTAAAGCCTTTGTTTGGTATAATTGAGTCATCTTTTTTCATTCATATGATGCTAGGGGAAAGTCCGGAATTGTTCCTGATAGTGGCGGATATTTATGTCTGGCCGGTCGGAGCCAAATTTGGTGGTTCCAGTGGCCGACATGACAGCTGTTGGTTGCACCTGGCAGCAAATTTTCGTGTTTTGATCATTTTCTAAAACTATTCGAGATTTGACCCTAGTTTAAAAAATTTCGAGATCTGACCCTTTTGCTACCGCCAGAGCCCATGACGGTAGGGTCTAACAACCTACCGCCAGGGACTTTGGCGGTAGGAAACATCGCTACCGCTAACCAGGCTGGCGGTAGCCTGCACAACCCTACCGCCAAGTACTTGGCAGTAGGCATGAGCACGCACTGTGTTCAATACTTAGAAGGTTTTTGGCGGTAGGGCATGCAACCCTACAGCCATGGACCTTCGCGGTAGGCTGTTATACCCTACCGTCATGATCTCTGGCGGTAGCAAAAGGTCAGATTTCGAAAAAAATTCAAACTAGGGTCAAATCTCGAATAGGTTTCAAAAAAGGATCAAAACACGAAATTTAGGCGCACCTGGCCAGACGGAGCTGAACACGGACGTTCATGTGGGGGACTTGGTGGCTGCCATAGTGGCTGATGATATGGCAGCATCAACTTGCAGATGAAAGCTGACGCGGACATGTGATCTACTGCTGCCATGCAAAAAAAGCTGTGGAACTTGAGATACGGCGGAGGACCTGATAACTAATTACTACAGAAAAGCACAGAGAGAAGAGGACGGAGCAATTGACGCAAGCACAGAACAACAATTAGCGACTGAGAAGAGGATGGATTAATTAGTACAACAATGAGAAGAGGGCGTCTAGGTGCACAGTCGGAGTGGACTCTGGCAGAGAACTTTGCTAGGTGAGATCCGCAAGATTGATGTCATTTATTTTAGTCTGCTTGGGCAGCTCAGCTGCTAAGCGCACGTACAGAAAACTAACTTCAATCCTCATGTCCCACACACACGTACAGAAAATGCATGCATGCATGTATGCGAGCAAGCATGCATTAACAACAAGAAAAAGTCCATGGATTGCCTCTAGATCTTCGGGTCCAACTCTGGTCAGGAGAGCTCAACCACCTTTTCCACCGGTGCGGAGGTGAATGGGCCGTGGAGTAGGCACCAAAGGACCACTACCGGACTAACACCCTATGTCGACGGCCGCCGGCCGTCGGCATAGGCTCATTGCCATCGGCATAGGTCTATGTGGACGACCACCGTCGGCATATCCCCATCGGCGTAGATAACGTCAGCGTACTTGCGTCAGACCATCAGCATAGACATATATGCCGACGGCGTCCGTACGACCGTCAGCATAAAAACACCGTCGGCGCAGAATTTCACCAGACGGCACCAGACGGCGCCGTCAAACACGCTGCCCAACCATGGGCTGCCGCATGGCACTGGTATGCCGACGGCGAGGCCGTCAACATACCAGTTCCACGCGGCAGCTGCTGGGCGCTCCTAGCAGCAGGGTATGCCGACGGTCTGGCCGTCGGCATACCTTCACCATGTGGCAGGTCCTAGTTTCTCCTGGCCATGGCTATAGATCTGTTCTGTATTTTTATTTGCTCTATTTTCTCTCATTTCTTTCAATTTGAAAGCATTCAAAGACACAAAATACGACAGTATGCATATATACACAGAAATATGACAGATCA